TGAAAATCAGATGAAGAAAAAATTAAAGGACAATGGTAATGAAGAAAAAGATAAAGACAAGAAAGAAGAAATGGAGGTAGATAGTGGCAGTGGTGTTAAAAAAAATACAACATCTTCGAGCGATGCTACTGCAGCAGATTCAGCAAGTAAGGAGGAGGGGGAAAAAGAAGAAGGTGAAGAAGAGGAGGAGGGCGAAAAAGAAGAAGATAATAAAAAGAAATTAGATAATGTAGATGAAAAAATGAATGGTATGGATGAAAAGACATCCAATAAAGAAAAGGAAGAGGGGGAAAAAGAGGATGGTGAAAGGGAAGAGGACGAAAAAGAAGAAGGTGAAAAGAAGGAGGATAAAGTAGAGTCCGAAAAAGAAGAAGGAGAAAAAGAAGAGTCCGAAAAAGAAGAAGGCGAAGCAGATGAAAAAATAGCAGAAAAAGAAAAAATTGAAGATGAAATGGATACATCAATGGATAAAGAAAAGCAAAGATCTGACGAAAAGGAAAAGGATAAGCCCGAGAAAGCTGAGGAAAAACAAGATAAACCAATAGAAGAAGAAAAGAAAAAATCGAACGAAGAAGAAAAAGCAATGGATATTGAAGAGGCAGCAAAGAAGACTCCAGAGACCAATGGTAAGCCATCATCGCCCATTACCACTACAAGCACCACAGTAGACTCATCCTCAAAAGAATCAAATAGTACTGATAATAAAAATAACAATAGTAATAACAATGATGATAATGATAACGATAACGATAATAATATCCAATCAAAAGACTCATCAACTACAACATCTACATTAACACCAACAAATAATAGTAATAATAATAATAGTACTACAACATCTACAACCAACATCGATCAAGATAGACCAGCAGAAACAGAGCCATATGAAGAGTTTGATAAAAAGAAGATCGAAGAGGAGCTTAAAGAGAAAAGAGAGCATATGGAGGAAAATATAGTCATATCGACAAACGGTAGTAATGGAAGTAATGGAATTTCAAATGCTATTAACGGTGATGAAGAAGAGGAGATGGATGAAGAATATGAATCTGCCTTTGCAAAGAATCAAGAGTCATCAGCAATAAGTAAAAGTAGCTATAGTTCAAATAAAGAGGCTGATTTAGAAACTAAAAAGCGTTTGGAGTGTCTAGGTAATATGGAAAGAATAGAAAAAGAATTTACAGATTTAAAAGAAAAATTCTTTAATGACAAATTAACCCAAATCAAAAAAGAAATTGAAGATATTAAATTAGGTATGTATAAAAAAATAATATCCAAATACTTATAAAAATAATAATGATTACTAATCTCAATAATATCTAAAAATAATAATTAGGTGAACATCTTAGTTTCCAAGAAAGAATGAGGGAGCTCGAATTAAAAAAGGAAAGAAAAGTTGCGATAGCAGAAAATTGGAAAAAGTATCAAATCCAGAGTATTCTAAATATGTATGATGCAGAATGTAAACAATATGAAGATGAACATAATGAAGAGGCATCACATCTTAGGGAAAGAATGGTTTCAACTCTATCCGAAAGACAAAAGAGAATATCTGAAGAAAAAGAATCTATGAGAATGAACGATGGTGAGTCAAGAATCACTACAAGAACAAGAAGAAGAACACAACAACCAACTCAAACTCAAAATGTAACGATGAAGAAAAAACAAAATCGTAAGTACCTTATTAGACTGTTGAAGATATTTAGAGTATTATACTAATGCTTTCATTATTTAATTATCAAAAATAGCGCCCTCAATTGTTTATAGTCTTAAAGAAAATGAAATTGCAGACGATTACAATATAATCTTCAAGAGTAGACGTTAAGATTAATCAAAAGAATATTTTTTTATATATATAATCATATAATTGTTTTTATATTATTTTTCATTGTAAATCTATTAAATCATCATCACCATAATAACCATTAATTAATTCAAATTGATATTAATTAAAAGAAATATTTATAAATCATCAGACCAACATAATATAATCAAAGTATTTAAATTCTTAAATTAATTCAAACATCAGCTCATTAATCATCGTCTATAGAGTTGTTTTTATTTAACAAACACCCTATAAATAAATAATTGAACAAAAAAATCAATAAACTAATACAAAAAAATCTTTAAAAAAAAAATAAACACAAAAAATAATTATAAATTAAAAATATCTTTGTTAATTCATTAAAGCTAAAATAAGCTAGCATTTTTTATTAGTTTAGGAGATATCTTTTTACTTAATGGGTTATTAGATTTTTTTCATTAGTACTAATTTGGTTTTTTAAATAATATAATATGATTTTTTTTTACCCCCTTTAAAACAAAATAAATCATATATCCAATAACAATATTTTTAATTCTAATTAAATCATTTTTTACAAATTTTAAAAATTGTTTATTAAGTGTTTATTATTTTTTATTTTTTATTATTTATTTAAAAAGAAAATATAAAAAATTTAAAATTTTGTTTTATTTTTATATATAACAAAATAAAAAAGAATCAAAAAAATGAAGGTATTATTAATTTTAGGTTTTTTAATGTTATCAATATTTTTTGTATCATCATATGAACTATGTGGACCAAGAAGTTGCATGAATGGATATTTTTGTGCTTCTGATTATTCAGCTTCAATTTGCAGACCAGAAGGTAAATGAATAAAAAAAAAATAAAAAATTAGCATATATTAATTTTTTTTTTTTATGCAGCCCAAGCCTACACAATCATACAAGTCAATATAACTAATGAAGGTGCTTGGCCAGATTCTGCACAATTTAAAGGAACAATAAGAAATATATGTGGGGTTCGTATTAGAAAAATTGTTTTATCTGTTTCCAATAAAGATTTTCCAATATTAAAAACATCAGCAATTTGGAATGCTCGTTATTCTAAAGAGTTTGAAGAGATTTCCTTACCTGATTATGCTGACGGAATACCACCAAATGATGAATTGTATCAATTTGGGTTCATTTTAAAAAATAGTAATACTCCAAAGATTAAAATTAAGAGTATCAGATTTTAATCTATATTAATATCAATAAATAAAATGTAATAAATAGTTTAAAAAATTTCTTTTTTTTATTTTCACAATTACCAGATATAAAAAGAGATCTTTTTTGTAACAAAATATAGTGTATACACTATATTTGTAATAGTAATTCATTGCCTTTGCCGTAATTAAAGAAAACTTATGATTCTTTGTTGTTGAATACTAATAACCTGCAAAAACATAGTTTTATTTTCACTCTTGACAACCAATCACCGCATAAACTTGAATATCTATCAAACAATCCTATTTGTGAACCGTGGCTTGCAAGTGTATATATTAATTTAAAATTATTTTTTTATGTAGCTTTTTCTCAACAATCTAGCTCATGAACGTTTCGATTCCATTTTTTAAAAAACATGATTTAAGACCTCTTGATACAAAGAATTTTGTATAATTTGTTAATTTTGGTAAATACAATGATTTGCATATTTATGTGTATCTGTATGTGTTGGTCTTATAGTTGTATTACTTCTAAAAGAAAATTAGTATTTTTTAAATATATATATTTATTTATTTATTTTTTTTATTTTTTTTTTCGATTATTTAAGAAATAATAAAATAGTGTAATATATTTTTAAAGTACAATTATTTTTAATTGTTTGTTTATTTACTAGGATACAGTTGAGTTTTGTGTAATAAATATGAATTTATATTTTGGTTATATTTAATAGGGTTTGATTTTTATTCTCTGTGATCTCTACCATGATATTTTGGTCTAGTTTGGGTATATTCGTAGTCATTATTATTATTATTTATATTCTTAGTATTATTGAAATTGTCATAGGCTGGGGTTAATGTGTACACATAATAGGCAGCTATTAAAAAGATAAACATAAATAAAAGAATTGCAATACTTTGGTTTTCTATAATAAAAAAGAAAGAATTAGTACATATAAAAAATAATATATTTTAAATATTTGTGTGGCATACTTGATCTGTTTTTTAATTTTTTCATTTTTTGTTCATAAGAGTTTAATTTTTGTTTCATTTCGTTCATTTGTCTTGATAGTTCTTGAGTTGCGCCAATAGTTTCCATTACCAAGGCCTCATTTTTGATTACTAAAAGATTTTCAATTTCTTGACCATTTACATTTTTATTACCAATAGTACGTACAGCTGAAGGAATAATTTGTTGAAGTTCTTGAGCGATAACACCTCTATCATTGCTATCAACGTATGGATCTTTACCATTTAGATATGACCATTGTGGATTATATTTAAAGTCATATAATCTCATTCTATTTACATTTTCAAGGCTTTGTCTTGGCTCTACAGGCTTTAAATCGTGTTTAATTCTTAAATCTGATGGATGGAAAACTCCTTCTGAGGCATAAATGGTCCCTTGGACAGAAAGAGCAAAACCTGGGTTGTCTACATTGATACCAACTTTACCATTATAAACAATACTTTTATCGAGTTCACCCTGACTCCAATGGCATCTACTAATTTTGTTTGTATTTATATTATTATTACTACTATTAAGTGGGTTATTCAAAAGGGTATTATTATTGTTGTTGTTATTGTTATTGTTGTGGCTATGGTTGTGATTGCTACTAATTGATAAAAGTGAGTTATTATTATTTAATGTTATAGGGTTATTATTTAATTGTAAAAGTGGACGTGGAGAAACTGGTGAATGTGATGGTGATTGTAGTCTCATTGTTGAAAAATCTTGAAGGGTTGTAAGATTTGTTCCGAACGTATTAAATCCAGCACTATGATCTGGTGTATGAACGGGTGAAAGATCGGTTGGAGCAGGTGAGACACTTGGTGAGCTGATTGCAGTTCTAACAATAAGTGGTGGTGAAACATATGAAACGATACAATACTCTTGGGCCATACAACGGCCATATAATGAAACAACCAATTGATTAAATTCTTGATGAGGATTTGGTTGACCATTTCTACGGGCATTATTCAGAGTGGCTTTTCTAAAATGAAGTCTTTGAATGCTAATTAATGATCCAAATTGAATTGCAACTGGTTTTGGTGCATGTTCACCTTGTTTTTCACGTTTTGAATTGGTTTGGAAAAGCTCTACTTCATTTTCAGATTGAGACATATCAGCTCTGTTCTTAATTCCTTTGATTGTAAGGGTCAAACCATTAATTGGGGTTTTAACACCATCAATTAACATATATGATGGTGCTTGACTTGGATCGACTGATGATGAAGAAGTAGATAATGTTACACCATTAGGAGCATATTGAGTTTCATAGACTTTAGGATAGATTGCTGTAATGTCCAATTGGAAGTGATTCTCTACAATAAACCCATTGACCACCAAGATATGAAAAGCCCTTTGATGCTATAATATTTAAAACTGGTGTTGGCCTAATATAAAATAAAATTAAAATTAGAATTCGTTTAACAGAAGAAAGAAAAAAAAAAAAAAAAAAAAAAAAAAAAAAAAAAAAAAAAAAAAAAACTTACATTTCTTCTCCACTTGTGTTATAGGTTGTGTACCATGGCTCAGATTTATAATCTGTCCACGAGAATGGTGGAGCTTCCCCAAAATTGGTCATTGGTGATGGTGGGTCTGAGTTTTCATTTTCAGAGGTAATCATTAAATAGTTATCACTTGGAAGATTTGGAGAGTGAAGTGGTGATTGAATTGGTGAATGGTGTGGAGAGTGGTTTGGTGAAGTGGTGCGTGGTGAATAGGCAGACTGTTGTGTAGTGGTAACTGAAATTGAAGGAATAAGATAAATTGATGAAGATGATAATTGTGTAGGTTGATTGTTTTGTTGCGACTGTTGTGGTTGCATTTGTTGTGGGGCAGCTAAAAAATTATTATTGTTACTATTATTTGTTCCATATTGTGCCATTTGCTGTTGTTGATCCTGTAATTGTTGTTGAAAGGTAGAGAAAAAACTACTAGTTGAGTTGCCAACACTTGTACCTGTTGTATCTAAACCATTTGTACTCGATACTAATGAGTTTGGTGAATAAGGTATCTCTGTATAAGTTCCATCTTCATTTTTAATTTTTCTCTTTTTTGAATTTGATTCATCTATGGTTGAGGTAAATGTATTAAATGAACTATTCATTGACGAGTTTATTGGTATATTAATTGGTATGGAGTTTGATTGTTGTAACATTTGTCCAAATCCATTACCACTCAATCCTAATAGCTGTTGACCAGATGAATTCATTTGTTGCTGGTGCTGTTGTTGTTGTTGTTGCTGTTGTTGCTGTTGTTGTTGATATCCATCCATTTTTTGTTATTTTTTAAATATTTTTTAATTAAAATTAAAAAATAATAAACCTATATTCTACAAATTTATTTCTGTATATGTTTGGTTATTGGTTTAAAAAAATATAAAATATTAATATTATTTACTATTGGGCAAAAAAAAATAAACAAATATTATAATTTTTTTAAAATATATTATAATGTATAAATAAATAATAAATGGATAAATAAATAAATTATAAATAAAAAAAATAAATAAATAAATAAATAAATAGCAAACAAATAAATAAGTAATAAAACACAAATGATCAATAAAACAAAAAGTTTATTTTTTTAATGTGTGCTTATATGGTCTATTGTAAGTTGATTTGATTGATATAAATAATAATCAACAATTTAAAAGATAACAAATTAATTTTAATATATATATTTTAGGTGTGTATTATTATTAATTTTAAAAATTTTAAAATTTTTTAAAAAAAAAATAATTAAAAAAAAAAAAAGAAAAAAAAAAAAAAAAAAAAAAAAGAAAAAAAAAAAAAAAAAAAAAGCTATCTCTCTTCCGGTTTTCTATTGGTTTATTATATATTTAGTTTACACCCATATTTATAAGTATTAAAATAAACTATTTATATGTTTGAGTGAGTGAGAGTGTGTGTGTGTAGTTATATTATTTAAAAATTATTTTTTTTTTGATTAATTTAATGGATTTTGTATTGTCTAATTTTAAAAAAAAAAAAAAAATTAAATTAACTGTTGAATATATTTTTTACAGTTAGATTTAAATTTTTATTTTATTTATTTAATAAGAAAATTACTGTGTGATAGTGTGAGTAAAAATAAAAAACATAAACACACTTTAAAGTGTGTTTGGGTATTTGTGTGTTTGTTGTGATATAAATTTTTTTTTTTTTTTTTTTTTTTTTTTGAAAACTATGGTTATTGTGAAAGAAAATAAACATTTTTAAAAAAAAAGAAAATAGGGGTGCACAAGGGCGATTATATATATTAAAAAAAGCTATGTAAAGCTGTCTTGAATTCTAAAGTGCTTCTGTTGGTTTTATTATTTATAAATTTGATATAATTAATTATATTTTAATGAGTAAACGAATGGGGGTGTATGCGCATATTTGTGTTTCTTTTTATTATTTTTGTTGTTATTATTAATATTATTTATTTTTGTTTACGAGTATACACAATTATTTTTTATCATTTCGATTTATTTTTGATTTTTTTTATAAACGATAACAAAAAAAAAAAAAAAAAAAAAAAAATTAAAAAAAAAAAAAATAAAACGATTTTAAGATTTTTTTGTATATAAACTGTTCATATATCCAACCTAAAATAAATAAAAAAATATTTATTAAATTAAAAATTAAAATAAGGAGTTTTATTACCTATGAAAGGGTACAGTACATTATTTGCAAATAAAATCTAATTATTTTTGACAAATTTTATTATTTTAAAAAAATATTTCATTATTTTTTTAGTTTAAATTTAGACTAATTAATGAGTATATCATTTCCTAAGTTTCTTAAACGAAAGTTTGAGGTTATTTTTACCACAAACAGAATCTAAAATTTTATGAAATACATTTAAAAAAAAAACCTTTTTATTTTTTTTACCAATAAAAAAATAAAATTAGTGGGTGTAGTTTTTAAAAGTTATATATCCACCCTATTTTTTTTTTTTGAAACGGGTTTGTAAGATATGTATAATAAAAGACTCAATAGGAGGTATTACTTGTTTAATTCTTATTATTTTTAACTACCATACCAATTTTTTTAAATCTGGTTGCAAAAATAAGTTTTTCACATAAAATTTCTACAACAAATAAGGTAAAAGTATTCATTAAATTAAAATCATTAATAAATAGTCTATTTATAAATAAAGAGTATCCAAATAAATATAATTTTTTTTATTTTCTTAATAACTCAACCAAAAAAAAAATTATTTTTTAAATTTTTTTTTTAGAAAAATAATTTTTTTTTTTTTTATTATTTTTAAAAACAACCTTCAGGTTACTTTTGTTGTATTTTTATTTGTATTTTTAAAAATCTTTAAAATAAATATATGTACAATATAAAAAGATAATATTAATAAAACCCAATGCAAAATAATAATATAAATAGTGAATCTGTAAGTTTTTTTTATCACCACACTTTAGTTTTTAGTGTTTGTTATTCAAACAAGTTCTAATGTAGAATTTTTAATGTTAATTAGGTTCAGGGATTTTTGTGTAAAAAAGGAAACAAGTCATTATTATCATCAGCTTCATGGAAAAAAAGGTGGTTCATTTTAGTTAATGCCCCAACTAATAGCAATGACAATGACAACATATTATTAAAATATTACAAAAATCAAAATGATGAATCACCAAAAGGATTTATATTATTATCATCCATTGAGTCGATCGACTCAGTAACTACAGCCGTAACAGTGGCAACATCAAACTCTACAACTAATAAATATTTTTTTAATATTAAAACAAAAAATAGAATTTATAATTTATATTCAGACACCGAACAAGAAAGGGATTATTGGATTTTAAATTTAAATATTTCCATTGTAAAATTAAACGATAATGATAAATCAATTAAAGATAGACCAAGATCATATACATTACCAACACCACAACCAACATTAATTGTACAAAATGATAAACCTGTAAATAATAGCAATAATAATAACAACAATAATAACTCAAAACCACCGCTCCCACCAAAGCCTTTACCACAACCAACATCATCTCCTTCGTTACAATCTAGACCACAATCCCAAACACAAAAAGTAGAACAAATCCCAATACCTAATAGTAATAATATCAACAACAATAATAATAATAATAAACCACCAATTGAGTTTATTGAAGATGAAAACATAAGTTTATGTGGCGCAAAAATTAAAGATAGTCTAAAGAATCATTCTAATGGATATATTACTTGTATGGTAGCTGTAACTAGATCAAAGATATGGACTGGTGATTCTCAAGGCAATATTGTAACATGGACAATAAGTAGAACTGGTGCAACTGATAAATTAAAGAAAGGATCCCAATGGAAACCTCACACAAGTGTTACCGCATTAATTTATGTTCCATCTCAAAAACTAGTATATAGTTCGGGGCTAGATAATAAAATTTGCTCCTGGAATAGAACCGATTTTAGTCCAGTGTTCACACATATTAGTAAATTCCCAATTTATGACATGGTATTTAGTAAAAATGATTTAATAGTTTATTGTGGTGGTACATCATCTTCAAGCTCATCCTCATCACCAATCGAGAAATTAACATCAAATATTGCAAATAAAGATAATAAAGAGGTTAATCTTAGTAATCTTTCACTATTCGATACAATAACAAAAGAAGAAACGGAAATACCATTTTCAGCCTATTTACCCTCAATTTTAACAAATGATGGCAAAAAACTTGCTAGTCCGTTAAGCAAAAAGAGAAAGTTTATTAAAATGGTCAAATATGATGAAAAGATTATAATATGTACCAATAGAGCTGAAATTTTAATTTGGGCACCATTCGACAATGAACCATGTAAATTTATATCTATTGGTGAGTCATTCGATATTACAGCGATGGACATTGTGGGTGATACTCTTTGGATATGCACAACTCAAGATATAAATGGTAATATATTTTCAACTACACTTCCATGTGTTATCACTGTTTTGGATTTGGCTACATTAAAAAAAATTCGAAGTTTTGAATGCCATCATCCAATCTCAAATTTCAGTATTATTAACGGGTATGTCTGGGCTATTACTAGAGGGTATATCACTGTATACGAGCCATTCACTGGTCAGTTAGCTTATGAAACCATTCAGCTTAAAGAAGATATGAACTTTTGTTCGCTCTATCACGGTAATATGGTATGGATTGGTGGTACTTTTATTTGGAGATTTCAAATCTTTGATAATTGGGTCTCTGAAAATTTAGAATACGATATAACCTCACCAATTAAAAAATCAATGCTATCAAGAACTGGTAGTCAAACAGTACCAGATAAAGCAGCGTTAGAACAGGCAGTGGCATCATCAGCTATTATTAATTTTATTCCAATTCAAGATTATACCGATTTTGAATACATTGAAAGCACATTAAGAAAGCTAAAAGAACGTTTTTCTTTAGAATATTCAAACCAACTCTATGATATATTATTAACAATTGGTGAAAACGATCAACTAATGCCAGAATATCAAACCATGGTTTGCAAATGTCTTAGATACTTTGGTAGAAATAAAAGTACACTAATGAGAGAGTTCATTTTATCCGATAACAATAGACTTGTCCGAATTGCGCAACTACTGCAAAGCTATTTATCAAATAAAAACAATCTTGTTTTAATTTATGAATCATTAAAGGTTATTGAATATTTAGTTTCAAGCTTTGATAAATTTTCAAAACTATTTCAAATAGAACCAATAATTAAATTTACTACAAATCAGCCAAATAGATTAATATTACAATCATCACTCAATATACTTTATCGTTTATTTGATTTCCATTCAAATTTTTCAAGTTCACATTTAAATTCATCAAACTCGACCAACTCTTTAAATGGAAGTGGCAGCAAAGATGTTAATAGCAGCAGTGGAAACAAAGATTCATTATACAACAATATTAAAGAAAAGGTTAAAACATTTATTTCATATCTTTTCGACAGTGCCATTGATGACAAAACTAAAACTGCAGTAATCAATATTATTTCAAGATACCCAAATGAATTAAAAGAACAATTTAAAAAAGAATCAAATATACAGCAAATTTATGAAATACTAAATCAAGGTTCATCACTTTGCTGCAATGATTTAATTGTTTTATTTAGTCAAATTTTAAAAGATTCTAGTAAAATTAAAGAAATGGTTTCAAAGAATTTTAAGCCACTATTAAATCTATTAGAACAAAGGTCAAGTGCATTCTATCCAATGTCACCCTCAACCAGTAGTAATAGCGCTGCCCCATCAGCACCAGCAACAAATGATAGATTAAGAATTTATTATTTAATGACATCACCATCATATATTCAAAGGGTTTATAATAATTCAAATAATGGTAACGACGGAAAGAAAATTAGAAAGCAAATCATATCAAGCAATTTCCAATCACCAGTTGAAAGTATTATATTTACATTAAATTCGATTTTACATTCATTAAAAAGTACTTCGTTCAAGAATACAAAGATTACAATTATTGATATTATTTTACCAAAAGAATTTCCATCAAATTTGGACATATTAAATCAATCATCAATTGTCAATGTTAATTTTGTTATGCCAACTCAATGTTTTGTATCCACCATCAAATTCAAATTCAATCCAAAAGATGTATCAATTAAACTATTATTCGAGAATGCTTTATCATCTGGTGAAGCTACTATTTCAAATCTTTCAGTTTCGGGTGAAATATTATTAGGTTTTGAAATTGGAACTGCCAAACCTCAATACATACAGTTTATTGCTGAACCAGAAATACTCTTTGACACTCAAACTACTGGCGTAGTAGTAGGTTTTATAAATCTATTCTTCAAATCAATATTAAAGAAAACTATAAAATCAAAATTTGTAGCACCAAATAAATTTTATTTACCTAGTATTTAGAAATAATAATAAACAATTTAAATTTAATATAAAATCCATCTTCAAAGTTTATTTATATATATTTTTTTATTTTTTATTTTTAATTTTTTTTATATTTTTTTTTTAATTTTTTTTTTAATTTTTTATTAAATTTATTTTTTTAAATTTGGTTTATAAAAGCAACTATAAATAAAATGAATATCACCATCAGAAACTTAGCATACATTAAATATCAACCACACTCAATACCTAAAAACTTTTCCTGCCACTACTCAACAGAACCCATACAAGGTACAAAAAGCGATGATATAAAATTAAAAAATAGAATTATAGTAAAAGATTTATATAAACAAGTATGTTAATTATATTTGATAATAACGGGAAAACACTAAACATCATAGAACTAACCCACTCTCTAGTTATTATTTTTAGGAAGAATTGGATTTTTAGGTGCAGATTATATTAGGGAAAGAGCAAAACCACAATTTATGAAAAATGCAAATTTAACAGATCAAGATGAAATTAATAAATGTATAGATAGAACCAAATATGTCATCAAAGAAATAGAAGCAATGAATAGATTCCATAAATATAGATCACTAAAGAAGTCATACGACCCAGAGTTTCAAGATATCAGAGATGATTTTTTAAATTTAAATTATAATAAAAACTCAAACAATAAATAATCAAAAAATTTATATACATTTGCAAATATCATATTTATCTTTTATCTTTAGAGAAATCTACAAGAAATTTTTTTATTTTTATTTTTTTTTTTTAAAATTTATAAAATTTATAAAAATTATTTATTTTTATTTTGGCAAATTAAAATGGAAAGAGAACCTTTTTTGAAGGTTTTTAGTAATAAGTTTTTAAGAAACAAGATCTTTAATCACATATCAGATTTTAATAGAGATTTATTTTATCTTTCATACGACTTCTATAGCTTTCCTTTAGAGATAATAATATTCAATAATAATACCCAAATATTTTTAGAAAAACTTAATCTCCATAAAAAATATTTTGGTAATAATTACAATGATATCATAAATGATAGTAATAACAATAATAACAAATATAATAAAATCTATAAATACTATTTCGAAATTCAAGAAAATCAAATTCAAAACCTAATAGAATGGAAAAAATTAGACAAACAACTTACAGAACTATTATTCGAGCTATATCCGAACCTGTTGGATAATATCAAGCAAAAAAAACTAGTCCAAATGATAATTAACTCAAATTTACATGTATCAGCATATATTTTAGAAAAATATCCAACTGTTGTTAAAAATTTAACAAAAGAAAATGTGGATGCAATCTTTGAAAATGGAAATTTAAAATTAATTGAAATACTCCTGAAGAATAGTAACTTTCCATACGACCTACTCTATTTATTTTCAACAATAGATAAAATTAAACTCAAATATGAAACATATTCAAATAAAGAAATTATTCAATTTTACAACATGCTTAAAAAAGCTTTTCCATCACTTACAGGTTTTAGAACTAAATGTTTTCAAGATTGTACAAGTAATAAAATGAATATTAATCTAGAACTATCTAAATTTTTAGTTAATGAATGGCCAATGAATATTCAAGTGGATAAATATAATAGAGGTATCTATTTTAAATTATTGTTCATATTATTATTATTATAATTATTTTTATAATTCCTAATACTTTTTTATAATACTACTTTAAGAAAAATATTTTTTGGATTCTATTAGTTCAAATAATATAGAAATTATTAAACTAACGTTACCAAAGCTATACGAACCCTATAATGAAAACGATTGTGATAATAGTGAGCATACCAATTTTATGGGATACAAAATCAGTAATGAGCTAATTGCTAAGAATGGCCATGATATGTATCGACCAACTTTAGAAGGACCAATGAAAATGATGTTTCCATTTATTAAAATAAACACTCTACCATTATTCACCTCAAAAGTCCCAACGCTCGAATATGCTGAATTTTTATTATTAAATAACCATCCAACTGACAAACTTTTGTTTTCTCAAGATTGTTTAAAAGATGATTTATCAAATGCACATTTATTTGAATCAAAAAACATATGTTGGAGTTTAGACTTAACTCACTATTATTTCCCAAATACAAGAAAGTTCAATTATTTTAAAAACAAAAGAGTTTTTCAGTCAATGAATGATAATATTAGATACAATGGCAAACTGGATAACGATTTAGAATTTACCAAACAATTTTCAAGGTTCACTTTTAAAACAATTAAAGATGCAGTTATAGATACCCAATTGGAAATTGTAAAATATATTTTATCTCAAAATAAACTCGACTTCGAGCAACTATTTGAACTATTTGCTCTTACAAATTACGAACCTATGAGAGATTTAATATATTTAAATGCCACCCAAACATCAGGCTTTACATTTTCAAATATATACAACCTCGCTTTAAATAGGAAATCACCAAACTATTACAACAATGAAAATAGAAAAGCATTAATAAAAAGAATATTAAAGGCCCCAAACCTAATAGGTAACTATAAGAAATTATTCGAAAATTATGACTATCCGATTTTCTCTTTTTTACAGATCGGTATTAACCTCTCAATTGGAGGATTTAACAAAATGAAATGGACAATACAATGTATAGATAAAGCAAAAACATTTGAACTTAGCAAACATACAAAACCATATTGGAAACCTCTGAAAGATCATCAGCCCCATCTATTAAATTTTTTTTATGATGCTATTAAAAAGAAAAATAATTACAAAATATTGCTCTATATGGTGGAACATAATTTTATTCACCATCTTGATATAAATTATATTTTAGAACTATCGGTCAAATATTCAAACAAATCCCTATTAGATCTATTCACTTTAAATGGTGCTTTTAAAAATCATCAAGATTTACTATTTGGTAACATCCAACAACAACAAATAGACTTGGGTATAGAAATTTTACCAAAATTAAACTATTCAAACTACCAATTTATAGTCAATAATATTTTTTTAAATTGGTCAAAAAAAAAGTATTTATGTGATAAAATTTACCACTGTTTTAATTTATCAAATCTGAAACATCAAAAACTGACCTTCAACAACGATTTTATTTCAAACCAAAATCATTATCATAATTTATTTCCAACCATCAAGTTATTTTTAAATAGATTGGGTCTATTGGGTTTTTTCAAAAAAAATTTTAAAATCGAGAATAATGAACAATATTTAAATCTATTGTCTAATAATAATAATAATAATAATAATAATGATTTTGATTATTACAAATAATATTCCGCAATAAATTTAAGTTTAAAATATTATTTTTTATATTTTTTTTTATTTTTTTATTTAATAAATATTTTGTTACAATATAATTTTTTTAAAAAAAGAAATGTGGATTGTAAAAAAAAAAAAGTTTACTTTTTTTTTAGTTAATCAACCTACAATTTCTTTTTTATGGTTATTTTTTTTTTTTTTGATTTTTTTTTTTTGATTTAAATGAATTTTTTAAGTATATATTAAAAAAATTAAATTTAATCCACCCCAAAGACTGAATAAACTTAACCCATGGCACCTATTAATATTAAAAAAATAAAAATTATTAGTAAGAGTGGTAAAAAACAAACAAAAAAAATCAACTAAACTTACCAAAAACAGGGTTGTGACGGCAAATTGATGGACCAAATTCTTCGTATTGAGCCTTAGTGTGACAAACATTGTAGAATTCTGGAGTACTGGCTAACATAGAACCACCAAACCAAACTGCATATCTTTGCATATTGTGTGAAATGACATTAACAGAGAGTGGTACAGCTTTAATTTTACCACCAGAAAGTTCTTCAGATCTTTTAATACGGTAATCAACACTACGTTTAATATCACGTTGAAGACGTTTGCTGAAATCTTTGAACATAGTGGAACCACCAGATAAGACGATGTTCTTGTAAAGACCTCTACGACAATCGATTGGACATGATTGAATAGTATCATCAACAACTTTTGGTAATGGAGTAAGGAAATCGGATGAGGCAATTTCTGGGTTGAAGAAAAGTTCTGGACCTAAGAAACGTTCGTAACCAACATCATAGCTGTATGGTCTCTTGGTGACACTATCTTGAGTGTTGATGGTTTTGATCCATTTATCTGGTTCACCATCATATTTGGCATATTCCTTGACAATATCTGGACAAACATAACTGTATTGTTCCTTGACACGTTTAGCAATTTCTAATGATTCAGCTGGTGGAATGCTTGGTTCACGTTCTCTCATGATTTGTTGAACAAAAGCAGTGATATCTTTACCGGCTAATGGAATGTGTTTAATACTACTACCAATAACATAACCTTCAGCGACTGGAATAACGTGAGTAACACCATCACCAGAATCAATAACGGTACCAGTTAAAGTTTTTTCAGCATTCTTTGATGTCCATGAAGCAGCAAGAGCTAAAACAGCTTGTACAGCAATATATAAACCTGGAACATTGAAAGTTTCAAACATAATTTCGGCGGTTGCTTCACGATTTTCTGGAGCATTAAGGGGTGGTTCGGTCTATTATTTATGATAATTTTTAATGATTTTTATATATAATTTTTTAATGAAAATAATTTTAATTAAAAAATAAATTGAAAAAAAAATTTGGTGGATTATTAAAAAAAAAAAAAGTGAATTAATAATCTATTTTTTTCATATTAAAAAATATATTAATAATATTTCAAACTTACTAAAAGGAAGTAGTGATCTTCTGGTTCACAACGTAAATATTTGAAGATACAATGTTCCCAATATTGTTCCATATGGGTCCAGTTTTCAATTTGACCGTGTTTAACTGGATTGTTGGTATCATAAGTTTTTGAGTTGGCTGTGGCTTCATCACCAATGAAGAAATCTAAATCTTCAACACCTTTCTTTTGTGAGGCAGCAGTTTGTTTGCCCTTTGATGATTGAGTTGCAATGGTAGTTGGAATAATGAAGCTTGGATCATTGTTACCAGCATAACCCATTTTAGTATAACTAAAATAATTTAAAATAAAATTTAAGTTAATATCATTGATATTACAAATTTTACATATTTATTTTATATATTGTTATTGATTGTAATTGTTTTATTGATATTGGTATTAATATTGAGATTGATTGAAAAAAAAATAAAAAAATAAAAAAATCTAATTTTTTTTTTTTTTGTGTGATTGGTGATCATCAAATTTTTCATAATTTGATTGATAATGTATATTTATTGATTGATTTTGATTATTTAAAATATAACTATTGAACTTACCCTGTACCATTATCAATGACAACGGCTGGTAAACCTGAAATTGGATTCATTTTATGTGATTTATATATAAATTAAATAAATAAATATGAAAAAAAAAAATTGATGATTATATATTGTACAACAGGTTTTTTTGTTTTTTGATCTTTTTCCTCTTTTCCTTTTTAATTACTGTTTTAAAAAGAAAATTAAAAAAAAATATCAATTAATATAATATATATAAAATTTTGAAGTAATATATATTTGTATTAAGAGAGCTGTGATTATAAAATATTAAAAAAAATCAAAAAAAAATATAAAAAAAAAAAAAAAAAAATTTTAAAAAAATTAAAAAAAAAAAATTTTAAAAAATTTTTTATTTTTTTTTTTTAATAAAAAGAAAAAAAAAAATCATTTTGGAATGGCTTGAAAGTGGCTTTGTTAATAATAAAAATAATTAAAATAAATAACAAAAATTTTTTTTATTATAAAAAGCTTTTGTGTGTATAGTTTTGGAAATGGATAATTTTTGTTAATAAAAAAAATTTTAAACTAATAGTTTTTTTTTTTAATTTTTATTATATCTAAATATTTAAATAACAATAAAATATAAATTGAAGTGTTTTTTTTTTTTTTTTTTTTTTTTGGTTTTGGATTTGGTTTTGGATTTTTTTTATGAACTTCTAATTTTTTTTTTTTTTTGATTTGGTATTTGATTTTTTTTCTTTGGTTTTTCTATTATAAGCAACAAATAAAAAAATTATGTAATAATAATAATCTTTTGTCCAGTTTTTTATTATTTTCCATTTTTTTTTTTACTATTGTTATTATTTTAAAATTTTTTTTTTTTTTTTTTTTGAATTAAGTTTTATTTCTATTCATAAAAAAAATATTAAAGTGGCGATTAATTATGGACGAAAGATTAATTTTAAAATGGCAATTAACAATGGTGGAATGGATTCCAATTTTTTTTTTTTTTTATAATAATAAATCTAAAAATAATTTTTAACAAAAAAATAATTATAAAAAAAAAAAGAATTTATATATATTCGTGTTGTATGAAAGTGTGTTGTGTGTTATAAATTTTATTTCTTTTTATTTCTTTTTAAATTATAATTTATTTTTAAAATTTTTTTTTCATAATTATTTTTTATTTTTTTTTAATTTTTTTTTAAAATTTTTTTTTTCAAATTTTTTATTTTTTTTAAATTTTTTTTAGATTGTTTATAAATACATTTAACAATTAAATAATATAATAATTTAAAATGTCGAGACACAGATTTTTAAAGAATATGACCGATGATGGTAATTTCTAAAATATAAAACAAATAAATCAAATTTGTCAAATTTTAATAATTTTCTTTTTTTTAATAATTTGACAAATTCATTTACAATCCCTAGACTTGGAGGATTTCGACGAACAAGATCTTCAAGATGATGATGGTAGTGCAGATTTTGATGATGAGGTTTATGATGTCTACGATGCTGTTGTTGATGATACACCAGATATTACATACGAAGAAATTGAAGAAATTTTAATAGATCACGATTATAGTGTGGATGACGCAATAGATTTTATTTTGGAGAATTATGAAAATAAAAAGTCAAAGAAAAAAGGTGGTAAACAGCAACCACAGAAACCAAGTAATAATAATAATAATAAACAGCAAGCAAATAAACAACCAACTAAAGGTAAGCATTTTTAAATTATTTTTTTATTTTTTTTTTTTTATTTTATTTTTTTTCTTTTAGATTTTCAATCAAAATAATAAATAAAAAAATAATTACTATTTAAAATAACATCCACTTAATATAAATTTTAATCTAATTTGTAAAATCAAATAAAAATATATCCTCAACAGTTAGAAGAACAAGAAGTGCAAGATCAACTAAAAAAGAAAAGCTTTTAGAAAATAATAATAGTAATAATAATGATAATAATACAGAGGATGAAGAAGTAGATAGTTTAAATAAAGAGAACAATGATGATAATATAAACAATAATAAAAACATTAATAAAAAAAATAATATATATAAACCATCATTGTTAGCAGTCGATTTATCCACAATCACCAAAAACCTATCTAAAATTAATATCGACGATAAAGAATTTTCATTTCAGTCACTTTATAAAAATAATTTAGATAACGATGGTACCATAATACCATTCGATTTTAAGTCACCTTCACCAGATGATATAGTATTAAATAGACAAAAACAAGCATTTAAACCAAAACATAATTCAAAAGATGATGATAAAGATAGCCAAATTAAAATAAATAAATAAATAATATTATGTAATAATAACTAATAATAATAGTAGACGTTTAAATATATTTTTTTATTTTTTTTTATTTTTGTTTCATATTTTAGTATTTATTTGGAAATTTTTTTATATTAACCTTTTTATTTTATTAATTAGAAAATGTAAATGCCATAAATAATACATTAAAAACAATGTCAATTGGTGGAAACAGTAAAGCAAAACCAGTCGAATCAAAAACACCATATAATACTCCAATTGGAACACCAATTAATGATAAAAATATACCAAATTCACCAGTTGATAGAGTTGATCCAAATTTAATAAATAATAACAATAATAATAATACTACAACTACAACAACTACTGTGTAAGTTTATTGTTACTATTTCGTTGGTTTATTAAATGTTCATATTAATTAAATTTTTTATTTTTTATTTTAGAAATAAAAATTTAAATGTTAAACAACACACAATAAATAGAAATAAAGAATTAGAAGAGATGGTACACAAGTCATTTGCAAGCAGTGATAATAAACCCCATTTAAATATGGTAGTAATTGGACATGTCGATGCAGGTAAATCAACTACAATGGGACATATACTTTTTAAATTAGGAAATGTTGATAAGAGAACAATGTCTAAATTCGAGCACGAATCAAATAGGATGGGTAAATCTAGTTTCCACTTTGCATGGGTATTGGATGAACACGATGAAGAACGTGAAAGAGGTGTTACTATGGATGTTTGTGTTCGTTATTTCGAGACTCCACATCGTAAGATTACATTATTGGATGCACCAGGCCATCGTGACTTTATTCCAAATATGATTAGCGGTACCACTCAAGCAGATGTAGCAGTATTATTAATTAACGCCAACGAATTTGAAGCAGGTTTCTCAGGTGAAGGTCAAACTAAGGAGCATGCATTACTAGCCAAATCTTTGGGTATTATGGAATTAATTGTAGCAGTCAACAAGATGGATATGATAGAATGGAATAAAGAGCGTTACGATTACATTGTGGACACAATAAAGAACTTTTTGGTTTCAGCAAAATTCAATGAAAAAAATATTCGTTTTGTTCCAATCAGTGGTTATACTGGCGAAAATTTAGTCGATCGTAAAGACCCACGTCTTACTAAATGGTACAATGGAAGCACTTTAGTCGATTATATAGATTCTTTTAGTGTTGGCGAGCGTTTAATTAATAAGCCATTTAGAATGAATGTAAGCGATGTCTACAAATCATCAACCAAAGGTTATGTTTCAGTTGGCGGTAAAATTGAAGCTGGTTTATTGGGTGTTGGCGATAAAGTTCTTATCTCTCCAGGTAGCGAAGTTTGCTCAATCAAACACATCCGTAGAAATAATAACGAAAGTGAATGGGCCGTTGGTGGTGATAATGTCGATTTATCACTTGTTGTTGAAAATCCGGCACTCTTACGTGTTGGGGTTATACTCTCAGACCCAGAGAAACCAATTCCATTATCTAAACGTTTCATCGCTCAAATTGTTACATTTACTCTTCCAATTCCAATGACTAATGGTTATCAAGCAGTTTTCCATGCACACTCTATGGAGGAACCAGCCACCATTACCCGTTTGGTTAGCTTATTAGATTCCAATGGTGGTGTTTCAAAGAAAAATCCAAGATGTGTTTCTGATACATGTACAGCTGTTGTAGAAATTCAATTGGGTAGATTATCATGTCTCGAATTATATAATGACTATCGTCAATTAGGTCGTTTCACATTACGTGAATCTGGTAAAACTATTGCTGCAGGTTTAATTACTGAATTTATTGATAAAAAGAAAAAAGAAGAAATTAAATAAAATAATAATATAATAATAATAATATAATAATAATAGAGTTAATAAAAAAAATGGTAATAAATAATAAAATAGTTTTATAATAAATTTTTTATTTTTTTTTATTTGTAAACATAAATTTATTTATTTGCTTTTACTTATTTATATGATTCATTTTATTTTATTTTAATGAAATCTCTTGGTAAACAAATTTCATCAATATTAATCAATTTTAAAGTTTTGTTTGGTATTAATCCTCTTTGCCAACGTTGATAATGTAATAATAATGGACACATCCAATTTCTAGCATTGGGTCTTTGGGGGTAACCATGTGATTTTTTATAGTTTTCAATTTCTGTTTTATTATTTCTCCATTCGAAATACTTTAGGTATTTTTCATTGTTTTTATCTAATTCTTTTAAATAGTAGACTAATTCCTTTGCATTTCTGAAATCACCGGAAAAGATGTATGAACCACCTGGTAAATATTTTAATATTTGGGGATGACCCATAATGACTGGTACTGACCCACTGTTAAGTGCATGAAGTGCTTTCTCTGTAATATAATCTAAGCAATTGTTGTTTTCGAATGCAATATAAAATTTATAATTTGAGATAATTTCTTGTTTAACTTCAAATGCATTCTGGGTGAATCTAATTGCTCTAGGATCTTTGGGTATATTCTTCAAACACTCCCCATAGCTATCAATTCTTATATATCTCATCATTTCTTTTACATATTCTAATCTAATTGATTGGGTTTCATTGTTACATTTGCTACAAAACCAACTTGCCAATGGTGCTTCATCATACTCTGGTGATTTCTCGAATATAAATTTTTTTACACTATTATATTGGTCATCGTGCGAACTATTAAAGTAGTGGTAGTATAAATTATCATTGAATTTATGGTTCTTTATATCTTGCTTTCTCTTTTCAATAAAACTGTTCTTTTTCTCTATAAATTCCTCACCTGAACTAAATGGCTTTGGTTCGAACAAATCGGAGTACCCATGGTTTAATTGAACATCAGTCCATTCTTCATACCCAATAGACCAGTTAAAATGCTTTATACAGTCTTTTCGTAGAGAACAAAATCTAATATTGGGGGGTTCTAATGCATGAATTACTTTAGGTGCACTATATTGATTGGTGTCATTTGGAATATGTCTTTCGAAAAAATCATAAAATTGATCAAAGTAGATTTCTAAGTCTGGGGTTTGAAATGGATATATTTGTGTGAATGCTATGGTTGCCATTTCCCCATCCAAATCTTTACAATGAATAGCTGGAAACAATATATCTGGAAATCCCGTATATAAATAGGTCTTGAGGTGGAAATAATATGAATTGTATCTTTCTTTTTTTGACATTTCTTTAAAGGGGTATAGTGATAAATTGTCATCTTCTTGTTTTTTTGTTACCAAATGCTTTAAATTTAAATGAACTGGGTTAATTTCACCAACATCTATAGTTGACCACATTATGGAGTTATTGATTGTTATTATTAAGATGAAATTTAAACTAATTATACAAAATATAAATGACATTAAAATTTTCATTTTTCATTTATCAATAGTATTATTTTAAATTATTAAATTATTAAATTTTTATTTTTGTCTATATTGTTTATGATTGTTCTTTTTATAACTTAAAAAATATTACAATAACTTAAATTGATTACATATGGCATGACTATGGTAGTTTATTATTATTATTAATAAAAAAATAAAAATAAAAATAAAAATAAAAAAAAAATATTAAATTAAAAAATTACAAAAATATTTAAAAAAAAAGGGGGTTAATCCTAAATTGGTTAAATAATAATTATTATAATACAGTTACTTTCTTTTATATATATAATAGTGATAATTGTTATTTTTTATAATTTGATTTCAAATCATTATTTTTTTGAACATTAATAATAATAATTTGAATATCAAATCATTATTTTTTCAACATTAATAATATTAATAAATAAAAAAAAAATGAAAAAAAAAAAAAAAAAAAAATTAGGATTGTATAAATAAAGTAATATTTTGGAATAGGCAATGAAAAAATATATAAAGAACCAGAGCCTACTTAAAAAAATTAAAAAAAAAAAGAAAATAAAAAAAATAATAGCCAGGTGAAAACAAATAAATTATTTTAATTTTTAAATTTTTTATTTTTTTTTTTTTAATTTTTAACCTTTTTTTTTTTTATTTTTTTTTTTTATTAAATCGTTTCTTTTAATGCATTTAATTAATAATTAGGCGCATATATTAATATTCTTTTATAAACAAATGAAAATAATAATATTTTTATTTTTAATTTTATTTACAAAATACAATAATTGCTACAGCACCCTCTACAATGTAAATAGTTTAAATAATAGTAGTAGTGGTGGTAGTAGTAATAGTAATGGTAATAGTAGCAGCAGTGACAGCAACAATAACAGTAATGCAAACAATATATATTTTAACTATGATCCTTGGATACAGGAGTTTCATGATGTTTCATTTTCATCATTCAGTAATAATAACCCAATAGCAAATAGTGCTGAATGGTCAAAAAATTTAAATAATATAAATAAAAATAATAATAGTAATAATAACACTAAATGTAAAATAAATACAATAAACTATCATCCAATAATATTATCAGACCAATCATATATAGTCTTAAGTTTGGATAGTAGTAACGAAAATTTAGAATTAATTAAATATCAGTTTAATAATGAAATTGAATGGAAATATTCATTTAATAATAATAATAATAATAATAATAATAGTAATAATAATAATTGCATAAATATAATCAACTCAAATATAGTTGTTGGTACAAATTACACAAAATCAGATGTTAATAATACATTTTATTATTCACCAGTTTTAGTTTATATACAAGAGTATTCAAGATACTATTTGTTTAATTTGGAGGATGGTAACTTGGTATGGAATTCGACATCAACATATTATAATTGTACATCTCATAATTATTTTTCTTCAATTTTTCAATTTTATTCAATATGCCAAATAAATAATGATAGTAGTAGTAGTAGTAGCCAAGATAGTAGCAGTAGCCAAGATAGTAGTAATAGCAATAATAGTTCAAATATTTTAAATTTAATAAAAACCAATATTATAAATATAAACCCTTTTATAAATCAAAATAACTATAACGAGATTTTAATTAATAATAGCCTAATAGAATTTAATACTACCTATAAATATAATGATAAAACATTACATCAAACTATATACAGCAAAAAAGAGTGGTTATTTGGTTATCCAACAAAATATTTTATATCTTCAACCCAATATTATAATTCAATGGTATATATTAATTTTGAATTTGGTTTTGTAGCAATACTCTCAAGTGACAGTCAAACAATATTCAATACATGGAGATTACCAGATAACACAATAAACCAAATAACCCCAGCAGTTATAACACCAATACCAAACTCGTATAAAAGCTATTTAACAATAATGAATGATAAAAAAAGAAACATTATGCTATCAACTTTTAATATTAATACTGGTGCTTTAGTCTATCAAAACCCATTGGTTGCAAATGTAAATAGTGGTCAAGTTTTCAATTCTAAGTTGGGTGTTTTTGGAAACTCTATTATGTTCATGTTCAATTATTTTACTCCAAAGGTTACATCATACTCTGGTATGTTTAACATTCCTTCAAACGATATAGATTATTATCTCACTGGTGATGCATTTGGTACCTACGACTTTGCCTCAACTTTGACAATGTTTTATTTCTGTAGATTGAACGATATATATATTATAAACAATGCATCGGTCGGATTTTCAATAAGTTATCCAATCAACAACAATACAGATAGTGGTAGCAGTGCCTCATCAATGAATTCATCAACTGAAGATTATGGTGAAATTTATAATGACCATTCTTGTAAACTATCCCTTGGTGAAAATAGTCTTTTGGTATCTTTCAATAATATCAGAGAAAAAGAATCTGTTACCTATAAAGCCATCGACAAAATGTGCCCTGATTTATGTGGTGAAAATATGCTTTGTGCTACCGATTTGGGTTGCAGTTGCCAACCATTCTACTATCCAGCCGATAATTGCTCCATTTATTGTTATGCTCCACATTCATGTCTGGGCCATGGTACATGTGGCGGGGATGGTCAATGTGTATGTGACCCTGAAACAGGTTGGGAAGGTAATGGTTGTGAAATTTGTAGAAAAGGTTATTCTGGTAATAATTGCAATATTAGTAAGTAATTTTTTTTTTTTTCTGGCCTTCAACTTAAAAAAAAAGACCAAATATTAATTTTTTTTTTTTTTTTTTTTTTTTTTTTTTACAGCCTTCAATTTAAAAAAAGCTATTATATTTATTTGTTTAGGGTTATTGGTAACCAGCTCAATTTGTTTTTTCGCAATTTTTACTAGAAGAATTGGAAAGAAAAATAAAAAAGTTTGTTGTAATTGTTCATGTTGGAGCAACCTATGGTATAAAATCAACACAAGTAAAATTGCCAAACCCAAACACTATCAATCATTAAATAATGAAAAAGATTATATTATTGACCACGGTGATAATTCTATTGATAGAGAGGGTGACAATCTTTAAAAAAAAAAAATTTAATAAAATCACAACTTTTTTTTTCTACCAATAATCCATCATTTTTATACGGTTTTTTTTTTAAAACTTAATTGACTCCTTTATTTCCAATAACTTAAAAAAAAAAAAATATAAAAATTTATAAAAATAAAAATTCAAAAAAAATTAAAAATATCTTTTCTTTTTTTATCAAAAAATATAATTATCTTTTTGTTTTTAAGTTATTGTTGGTTATTTATATTTTTTTAATTTTTTTTTTTTTATTTTTATTTTTTTCTTTAAAATTGCTAAAAAAACAAAAAAAAAAAAATTTTGATTGTTTTTCACATACACAAACATCATTTTATTAAAGAGTATATTAATAACCACAAAAATTATTTAAAAAAAGAATTATATTTTTGTATTTATTTTCCACTTTTTTTTTTTTTTTTTTTTTTTTTTTTGTGTATAAATTATATTGGTACCAATTAAATCAAAAAAATTGTTTTTAAAATTCTATTTTAATTAAAATATAAAATTATTAAATTATAAAATAATATAATTATATAATAATAACAATAAAATGTACGATCCAAATGGACAATCAACAGCACCACCACCATACAATTATCCAGTAAATCCAACACCACAAGGATATGCAGCCCAAGCACCACCACCAGGTTATGCTGTTCAAGCACCACCACAAGGCTATGCTGTTCAAGCACCACCACAAGGTTATTCCCAACCTCCCGCTCCACCAACACAACCAAATCAAGTTAATTATGCACCACAACCAAATCAAGCTAACTACCCACCAGTACAACAACAACCAATGTATGCTACCCAACCAGTATATGCACCAGTTCAACCAGTTGTTGTTACTACTACCACTACATCTGCACCAGTAGCCGTTGCTAAAGCCGATGACGCTTCAGTCGATCAAGGTGCAGTTAATTCTGCATTATTGATCTTTGTTTGTGGTTTCTTTTGCACTTTATTATGGCTTGCTGGTTTCGCATACGTTCGTCATAAAAACAAAACCGCACGTGTTTATGGTATTTTATCAGTATGTTTCTTCTTTGCTATTGTTGTAATTGTTGTTATTTATTTTGGGGGTTTTTTGGGAAACCCCCAAAAAATTAAAAATTTTGTTTTATATTTCCAATGGGGGTTTTTTTCCCCCCCCAATCCAAATTTTGGGGAGGGGGGTCCCAATTTTTTCACAAAACCGGGGTTTCCCAAAAAATTTTTATTTTTTTTTTTTTTTTTTTTAAAAAAAATTTTTAAAAAAAAAACTTTTCAAATTTTAAAAAAAAAAAAAAAAAAAAAAAAAAAAAAAAAAAAAAAAATACAGGAAAATAAAAGAAAATAAAGATATTTAAAGCTATTTATTTAAATACTTTTATAATGTATAAATATACACATAACAAAAAAAAGTTATTTTATTATCAATTTGATTAAATTTTTTTTTTTTTTTTTTTTTTTTTTAATTTGGACCATTATTGTTATTTTATTTTAATAGTTTTTTAATATTATTTAAAATATCAATTTCGTCACTATTATTTTCTGTATTGAGTGATTTTAATCTTTTTTCTATTTCTATTAAAAGGTTTTGAGCTTTGCATTGTTCTATAACATATTTTGATTTGTCATCTTTTAAGAAAGTTAAAAGAGAGATTTCAACTTTTTCTACCATAACAACCTGTGTGTGTGAGGGATTGCTTTGTAAGTTAAATGCCTTTATTAAACCAATTAAACCATCTATTGAGCCACATTCAAATGCTGCTTCTTTTAATTCTGGGAATGCAATAATTAATTTGTTTAAAAGGAAACATGCTTTTGAAATACCACTGACACCATTTTCAACTGTAATAGTTTCCTCACTATTATTATTATTATTATTATCATTTGTATTTTCTTTTTTAATTGTTAATTCTACAGTTGGTGAAAGGAATGAGGTTGTTAATTGAACTATATTTACTAGGGTTGATTTATCGATTTTAATTGAACCCATATCGTAAGATAAAAGACTACTGATTAATGAAAGGAACTTTTCTCTGCAAAATGGTTTGGTTTCTTTATTTAATATCTTGATGCAAATTTCTAAAAGACCCAACGAGGTGAAATAGTTTTGGATAGTTGGTTCTGATTGTGCCATGGTTGATAGACACTGTGCTGAAATGGCACGAACTTGTTCATTTGTTGAATTTAATAAATTGATTAAAACCGGAGCACCACCAATCTTTATAAGATCACCAGAGTTGTCCAAATCCTCTATATAGAAAATCAAAGTTTCCAATGATGTTATATATTTTTTTTCTCTTTCTTCTTTTTTCATTTCTCTATTCTCTGGTTTATCTTCAAAAATTTCCATTAATCTCTTCATTTTTTTTGCATCATCCTCTAAATTGCTAAATGCCTCTTTAAGCCATTCGTAGTCCTTTGGATCACGATCTTCTAATTTTGTTTCCTTTAAATTTGGTGAATCTGAATGTGTTAAACAAAATTTTAATAATCCCGGTCCAATATCTTTTGGTAATCTATATTCATTTATTTTCTTTGGTTTTACTGGCCCACTGAATGAGTTATTACTGTTATCATCTTGCTCTTTATTTTCTTCTTTTGCTTTGATTGGGGCTCCTAAGTACATTTCTTATTATCTTTATTTATGTGTTTTATTTTTATTTTTTACCGTGAATATGAATTTAAAAAAAAAAAAATGAATTTAAATATTTTTTATTAAATAATTTTTTTTAAAAAAAATTTTTTTTTTGAGAATTCACCTGAATTTATTTTAAAATCCCCCATTTTTTGTTTTGTATCTCATTCATTATTAATAAATAATTACATAATATTTATTTTATTTTTATAACATTTTTTAAAGAAATAAAAACAATATTTAATAAAGTATTATATTTTATATAAAAAAATAATACAGGTTTTAGTTTTGATTTTTTAGTTTTGTTTTTTTAGTTTTGTTTTTTTTTTTTTTTTTTTTTTAATATCTTAAATCCTAAAAATATCTTAAATCCATATATGTTTTATTTGAATTTTTAATTTATACAAATATATAAATATAGTTATCTCATAATCATTTAAAAGAAATTAAAATATGAAAAAGTTTAAAAAAAAAAAATGATATTAAATGAAGTAACAAGATTTTAATAATAGGGTATTTATAACAATGGAAATAGTATAGATAATGTGAAAGTTTATAATTTAACCCAAAACAATATTGGGTTGTATTATTTTCAAAATAAAATAGTAAATATTTATGTATTTTTGGGGATTATCATTTTTTTTTTTTTTTTTTTTTTTTTTTTTTTTTTTTTTTTTTTTTTTTTTAATACAATTGATTAAATTGTAATCATAATTGTCAGGTTTTTCATTTATTCTTTTAATTCATTTTTTCATTGGAGCATACTAAATTTACAATAACCTAATTAAAATAACAACAGATTTATATGCATGGGTGATAAAGATCAATAGTAATAATAATAAATAAAAAATAATTGAAATAATTAAAAATGAAAATATTTACTAGGATAACTTCGTATTGGTATTGTTTTTTTATTAAGAATGATAAATTATGAATGAATATTCATACTAAAAAATTAAATATTCACACATTATTGTAAATTTTTTCACACCTCTCATAAAATACTTCACACACACCCAAACACACATCCCCCATTAATATTTTCAGTTTATTTAATGCATTCAATATTAGGAAACAAAAAAAATAAAAACTCACACTCACACAGTTAAAACACACATATACTCACATACTCATTCACATTTGTTTTTTGTTTTTTTAAATTCATACAATTATAGATATATAATAAAGATTCAAATTTTTTTAATACCTTTAAAAATTCACACTCAATGATCATTACAAAACTACTACATTGTTTCATTATAAATAACCAAAAATATAAATAGAAATTAAAAAAAAAACAAAAAAAACAAAAAAAAAACAATAAATTCATTTTTGAGTGATACCTATATCTATTTATCATTGAAAAAACATAAAAAAAAACAAAAAGTAAATAACAATACTAATAACATAAATAAAAATACACACTATAGCATTGTATTTAATGATATAAAAAGGGGTTTATATTGTTCTTTTTTTTCATATTTTTATATTTTATTTTTTTTTTATTAAATATTTTTTTTTTTTTATTTTCTTTGTATTTTTTTTTTTGTTATTTAAATAAATAAAATTGTATTATTTTACTAATCTATAATATATTTTATATATAAATTATAATAGTAATAATGTATAGAAAAAATACATTACTTATATTTACTATTCTTTTACTCACATGTGTTTTTTCAACAACAGTAAGTATAATCAATATTTACAAATAAAAAAAAAAAATATAAATAATAATAATAATTTTTTTTTTATATTTTAGTATGCAGAAAATGTTTATAATAGTGAAAAAATAAATGAAAGAATTAACAATAAATTAGGCGAAAATATTCAAAAAATTGAAAATGCAGCTGGAGAGTTTCAAAATGCAGCATTAGAAGCAGTAAAGGCAATTGAAAAAGTTCATGAACAACAACAACAACAAGAGCAAAATAAGAATCCAGATTCAATTCAAAACTATGCACAAAATTATCTTTGGGGCATGGTTGAAAAGATTCAAAAATATTTAGAAAACAATAACGCAGAAGGCGGTTTTTCAGGTGCTGGTCAAAGTGGCGTTCTCGGTAATAATATTGGTGACTCCACAGGTGCACAAAGTACTCAAATTCAAACCATTCAAGGTGTAAATACCAACGGACAAAATTCTGGCGGTGGTGGCGGTATTGCCCCAGCTACATCTGATGGTATTGCTCCAACTAATGATCCATCTTACACTATTTTCGCAACAAAAACTGGTGGTGATCAACAAGGTGGATATGTTGGTAATACAATTGTAACAGCAGAAAATACCTATGTTCAAAGTATTGGTGATTTTGGTGGTGCTAGAAGTGGAGCTAGCTCAATTGCTAAATCTGTCGGTCAATCTATTGGTTTAACTATTGGTCAAGGTATTACTGGTGGCGACAATACTGGTACAATCGCTGGTACTGGTGTTTCAACTGATGGCACTTTAGCTAAAACTATTGGTGCTTTCCTTGGTGGTGCTCATGGTGGTTCATCTTCATCAGCCAACTCAATTGGTCAAGTTATTGCAACCGGTGCTCAATCAGTTGGTCAAGTTATTACTGGTAATGGTAATTCAATCGCTAAAACCATTGCTGGTTCATCAGGCCAAACATTTGCTCAATCTGTCGCTGCAACCGATTCTATCAGCCATTCAATTGCCCAATTTATCGCCACTGGTTTCAGAGTCATTGCTGGTAATAATGACCTCAAGGATGAACAATACGTTGATAGATCATATGGTTTTGTTCCAAATGGTGCTGTTCATAAAGAAATTCAACAAAGACAAAAACAAGTTCAAAAAGAATTGAAAGACCAATCACCAGCCACCTATGAAAAATTATCAAAGGATGATATTGAATTAATTAATGAAGATGTCGCAATTGATGCACTCAGAGAAATGCAACAACAACGTGAATCTGATTACAATGATCAATTAATTGAACTTCAAAAGAAAGAACCAAATGCTTATAAACAAAATAAGAGAGAAGCTGAAATTCAAGATGCTTATGCCGCTTTTGAACAAAATGAAAAGGAACTCCAAGAACTCTATGCTAATCTCCCAAGCCAAGTTTATCAAGAAGAGATTGTTAAATCAAACAAAAGACAAGAAGTTGAAATGACCCAAGAACAATTAGAAGAGGAAGCAATGGAACAATATCGTCAATTACAAGAAGCTGAAATGAATGGACAACAAGTTGAAAACCAAGAAGTAGCTGAACAAAATCAACAAGAATTCATGAAAGAAATTGAAAATCTTCCAGAAGCTGTTTATCAAGAGGAATTAAAACCAGAATCTAAAAACAACAATAACAAAATGGTTCAACAAGACCTCACTGTAGAGGAACAACTTGAACAATTAAGAGAAGAAGATAAAATGGCTGAAGAAAACCAAAAAGATTTCTTAGATGAACTCCAAAACCTTCCAGAGCAAATGTATCAACAAGAGCATCCACAAAAACTTGTTCAAAATGAATTGGATGAAAATGAAATTGAACAAGAAGCTCTTGAACAATATGAAGCTTTACAACAAGAGGAACAACTTCGTAATCAAATTGAACAACAATTCAAAGAAGAAATTGAAAACCTTCCAGAACAAGTTTATGCTGAATTACACCCAAATAAAATGGTTGAACAACAAATGGAACCAGATGCTGAACAAGAAGTTATGGAACAACTCGAGCAATTAAGAGAAGAAGAACAACTTCAACAAGAAGCAGAAGATGAAATTGAAACTCTCCCAGAAAATATCTACATGCAACAAAGCCCAGCAAGAGCCCAAAAACAAATTACCCAAGAAGACCAAGAACAAGAAGCTATGGAACAAATGGATATGTTAAATAGATATAACAATGGTGAAAATATTGAACAATATTCAAACAATAACAACAACCTTAACAAATTTGTTCAAACTGAAGATGGTAAAGAAGTTGAAGAGGTCGAACAACAAATTCAAAGTCAATATGACCTATTACAAAAATTAATCTCAAACAATGAAGAGCAACAATTAAACGAATTAAATGAAAATCAAAACAATGAAAATAATGAAAAATTAGATAAACAAATTCGTGATCAACTTGATATCATCCAAAATTTCCACAAACAACAACAAGAAAAAAAAGAACAAACCCAAAATAAATAAATAAATAATTTGATTATATTAATTTATTTAATATTATAAAAAAAAAAAAAAAAAAAAAAAAAGCTTAAACATAAATAAATAATAAAAAACTATCTATATGATAAAATTTTTTATTTTTCAAATTAAACCTTTTATTTATTAAAAAAATAACAATATAATTATTATACTGTTAAAAATAAATAATTGGTTGTTTTTATTTTTTGTTGTATAAACTTTTATTTTTTGTTATTTACAATTTTTTTTTTTTTTTTACAAATTACATTTATGTGTAGTAATAGCTAAAAAGTAAAAAATTAAATTTACTTTTTCTTTACTTTTTCGTCCATCATAGTTTTGTATGATGCTGGTAAATAAAATAATTCCTTTTCGTCTTCATCGATAACATCATCATCCTTTTATGGAAGTAGTCATTAATATGCATAAATTAGATAAAAATAAAAAAATAAAAAAATTCGAATAAGTAAAAGGTTTTATTTATTAATATAAATAAATTCTTAGTTATTTAATTTTTTTATTTAATAAAAACATACCAATTCATCTAGATTATAATATTCTGATATTTCTTTATAGACCTGTTCGTATGAAAAGTTCTTCTGTGGCATTTTTTCATGCAAAATAACTGTACAGTTTATAATGGAAAACTGCTTATTAACACCTAAAGGTAAAAATTTTCCAATTGATTCTAGTAATATACATTTTGATTGGGTATCCCAAAGTGGTGGTTGTTGTTGTTGTGATATCTGGTTATTAGAATGGTTGTTATTATTATTGTTATTATTATTATTGTTTGGGTTTAACAGTGTATTTTCATTTTTAATTGACATCTCTTAAAATATAGAACTTTCTCCACTTAATTAAAAAAATAGTTTCTCCAACAAAGCGAAAATGCAGAAAAAATAAATGAATTATTTAAAAAAAAAAAAAAAAAATTAAAAAAATGAATAAATAAAAAAAATAAAAATAAAAAATAAAAAAAAAGATTTTTTTATTTTTTTGGTGTGTATTAATAACCCTTCCCCCCACACTTAAATTTAACCTCCACACTTTAATATTTATATTATAATCGCCAAAATAATAACCAAAAACTATAGTCCATAAGTTAATTTGTGTATATATTATATGATTTATATAATAGATCAAAAAAATCAAATCACATAATATAAAACATAAATATTTTATTATACCACACAATCAATTAAAATTTTAAAAATAACCCCTCCCATTAGCTTTTTAATTATTTACCAAATATAAAAATACCTATATAAATAAAATGTTTGATTAAACTACAATGCTATTTTATATGTATTAATTAATTTTATTTTATGTTTATACATTTAAATATAGTAAAAGATTATTTTTTATTTACTTATCAAATTTATATTTTTTATTATTATTTAAACGTAAAAATTAGTATACTGGTACAAAACATTATTGGGAAAAACTGATGATTTTAATGTGACAAAATTTATTTTATTTGTAAAAATTTTATATCATCATTAATTAATTAATAGTTTAAACAATTAAATCATCAATATTTTGTTTGCGTCAACAATATTTAAACAATATTTAATCAAACGTCTATGCAAATGATAAGAAATAAAAAATCACAACAACTGTACAAACCAATTTTATATATAAACTTTTTTTAGAATCAAAGGTTGGTGTCCTCATTTCCAAATTTCATCATTATCTATAAATACAAAATAATAAAAATCATAACCATTATCTTTCGATAAATTAAAAGTGGAATAGTTTAAATAAATAAAAATAAAAATAAATAAAAATTTTTTTTACTATTTAAATAATTTATTTTACTTTTTTTTTTTTTACCATTCAAATCATAAAAATTAATTAAATAAAACTACTACTTAATTTTTTTACATATAAAAATCTTTTTTTAATTTTTTTTTTATAACATTAATTTGTAATACCATTTTTTAAAAAATGATTTTTGGTAAGATTTTTATTTCTATAAATACTATAGTCAAAGAAAAAGAAAAATATTAATATTTTTTTATTACAGAAAATTTAAATAAATTATCAATTAAAACCTCTTCAATTTCATCAGACACCAATGCAGAGTTAATATTAAATATTCAATCAAATAATTTGGTTAGTAGTGTTACTAAGGTTACTAAATATAACTATAGCAATACATCACACACTAGTTATACTAGACCATTTTGGCATTATTTATCAACTGGTACTTTAAATTCCTCAAAATAATAATTAAATAATTAAAAAAAATAAATATAAACAATTAAAGGTTTATTATTGTTTTTTTTTCAAATTTTATTTATCTCAAAAAAACTGTAATAATAAAAATTTAAAAATAAAAAGTTAATTCGAAATTAAAAAAAAAAAAGAATTTTTTTATAAACAAATTATTTTAAACAATAATATGATAATTATTATTTGTAATAATTCATTTTTTTAAATAATTAGTTTCTATTTAGGGTAAAAAAGAGTGTTTTATGATTGATCAAAATAATAAAAAAATATGAACTTATTTTTTTAATCTGTATTAGATTTTCGGAGAATCATTTCTTTTTATTATAAAACTACTAGTGTTAACTTTGACATTAAAAAACTTAATATTATAAATAATTATTATAATAATATGTGAGAAAAAATAAAGAGCTGGGGGAAAATAATTAATAAAATAGGAAAAAAAAAAAATTAACATTTGTTTAT